GTGGGGAGGCTTACATACCTTCCAGTCTTGGCTGGAGAAGAACTTGGGGTTAAGCAGCTTTGGGCCACCAAAATGTTGAGATTTAGGCATGCTGGGACCCCAAAATCACAACACATGGGCCCTGCCCAAATGAATTTGACCCAAGCCCTCTTTTAGCCAAAGAAAAGGTTTATTAAAGATCCACCATATTGGCCAGATTCTTAAGGAATCTAAGCATTTGTATCACTAATACAAGTGGGCCAGATTTTAAAAATCTGAGTGATCAAAATAATTTTTATCAAAGAGTAGAGAGTTTTTTGTTTTTTTGTTGTTTTTTTTTTTGGTGAGGCAATCAGGGTCAAACAGCTAGTGGGTTTTTTTTTTAGTAGTTTTGTTTCATTCCTGATCTACTATTAAGAATTTTAATGACATATAATTGTGTTTGGAATTTTAAAACTAACCCTTAGTTGTATTTTAAAGCTACTTGCTACAGCAATAGAGGATTTTAGAGAGTCTTGAATGAGTCTTGGACCTCTACTTGGTGTTAATCCAACTCACATCTGTTTTCTCAGTGAATTGCTGGCTAACTAATTTCACAATCACCAGAACCATTTTAAAGCAATGGATATATTCTTTTTTTCAGGACCCCAGATATCCTGATGTCCCCAACAAATTCCAGAGTGTCCTGGAAGACTTCCCCTTAACCATACCCTGTGGGACACAGGCTTATGAGGTCAGTGGATTTAATTTCTCTAGAAAAATAAAATGACAAATTAAATACTAAAAACATTATCCACATGTTATGGCTGTGGAGTTTTTTTTTTTTTTTTTAATGCATAATCCTTCAAAGAGTCATGCCAGATCATTCCAATAGGCACGACAGCTCATGCCTGAGTTTAACTAAAAAAATTTACTGTTCCCTAGATAGGAATTTAATTAGTTTTCACTGTAATTATGGTTACCAGTGGAGGGGATCAGGATTGACAACTAGGAAGTGGTGGTAGGAGGTGGGGAGAGGGAATCGGGAAAGGCTCTACAAAGGAGGAAACACCTGTAGTAGGTCTTGAAGTAAGACAATTGAGGAAGGGTGTGTCTCTGGGGTATGGAGATCAGCTTCATCATGGAAACAGGAGGATCAAGCACTATCATCAACTTAGAATGGAATGTCCTTTGTGAAGAGGAGTAACCTGAAACAAGGCAAGAAAGATAGGTGGAAGCTAGAGTGTGAAGGGCCTTAAATACTAGGCTGAGTTTAGTAATTTAGTAGCGATTTTAACAACAGAGAGTTACTCAATATTTTTGAAAAAGGGAGTGATGCAGTCAGACCCATGCTTGAAGATAATTTTGGCAACTACGTGAAGAATATATTGAAGAAGAGAAAGAGTAGAAGTGGGGAGGCCAATTGAGGTCATTATAGGAGGGACAATGTAAAAAGAGAGATAAATGCAATGTCCTAACTTGGATTAAAAAAAATCAACTTCATCAATATAAGATAGAGCAGATGTGAAGACATAATTTGTTTGAGAAAGATTTAGGGATTCTAGTGAACTTGAATCTCAAGATGTGGCAACAGTATGATGTGGTACCAAAAAAAAAAAAAAGCCTATGTAATTTTAGGCTATGTTAAGATATATTCCTGTCCATAACCTGTTGAACTCTGCCTTAGTAAGATCACATCTGGAGTATTGAGTTCAATTCTGGGCCCCATGTTTTGGGAAGAGCATTGATTAATTGAGGAGTGTCCAGAGGATATTGATTAGGAAGGAATATTGCCTTTAGATCATGATATTATATGGGCAGATTGAAGGAACTGGGGATGTTCATCTTATAACAGGAGATTTAGGAGGAACGTGATAACTGACTTCATGTTCTTGAAGGGCTGTCATGTGACAAAGGAGGTAGACTTGATCTTGGAGCTGTAGATTTTTGGTTGCAGGGAGGCAGATTTCATCTTGATTTTTGGCAAAGCTTCCTAAGAAAATAGAATGGGGTACTTCAACAACCTGTGGGCCAGCCACATTATAAAATATATTCTTGTTCAAATATTGATTGGACTAGATAACCACTAATGTCCCTCCTAATTCTGATGTTCTTTGATACTGTTAAAACCTATTTGGGGAGCAACAAGAGAGTTGGGTCATATACCTTACAGAAAACTGGCTTATAATTGAAAGGTTTAAAAGGTTCCTAATGTTTTTTTAACTTTTGTTTTATTTTAGTCTCAGAAGTGTACATTTTTGGTCAATGTGCTATGAATGTTTAGACTTCAGGGTTTGGGTTTTTTGTTTTTGAACCTAGTGTGTAGACTCCCATCAGCCACCCCAAGATCCAGTTGGCCGTCCAGTCATGCACCAATCAGGTATTAAACATGCCAGTGGGGAAGCCATATTTTGTGATGACATGCCTGCTATAGATGAAGAACTCTTTCTAGCTGTAGTAACCAGCACACGACCTCATGCAAAAATCATGTAAGTTAATAGAGCAAGTATTGAATACCACCTATTGTTGGTAGATGCAATTTTATGTTCAACTATTATTGGAGTCATAGCTTTCTGTTTATGTAAATTTAACTGCTTTATATTGAAAGACAGTCTTGGGATGTTGCTTAATAAAAAGACAAGTTGTAAGATAAGAATTTAATTAAACAAGTATTTATTAAATGTTTACTATGCACGCTAGAGTTACAAAGATGAATTAACATACAATCTCCATTTCCCTTAAATCCAACATGGGAGAATGAAACATTTAAATAAATAAATGTAATGGAGACTAGAAAAAGGTTGAGGGAACAGGAAAGATAAAAAAGAGTATTTCAAAAATGGAGGGATTTGAGTTTCAAAAATGGAGGTATTATTTTCAGTTGGGGATATGAGGCATCAAGTAAAGCCTTATAGAGGAGGTGGCATCTAAGGTCAATCAGCCCCCTTGAGGAAGAGGAGAGATGTCAGCAGACAGAAGTGGATAAAAGTATAAAGCCATATAAAGCAAAGGAAGGGGAGCTCATCTCTAAATGGGGAGTTAATACTGTCTAAAACTATGAGAATTTAAAGAGGGATGGAATGTTTTATATAATCTTCTTAGCTCATGGGATCCTCTGCCTGTTTCTCTAGATGGATACTCACAGTGGATCTTTTCATTTGGTATCAAAAATTGAACAACTTTTCTGAGATTATATTATCAGTGTGGGAACAAAGAATTATGACGATAAGCTTTTCCTTCTCTTTCATCACTCCCTAAAAGAAACCATGAAAATATCTTGTGAAGTTATTGGTTTTTTTTTTTGTTTATCCTCTGTAAATTAATTGTAGTTTTCAGTTGGATTCACAAGATGGAATCATTCAATGATGATATGAGTGCATCTCGATGGAATCCCTGATGGATAGAGATTTTGCTCCACTTACCCCTGTGTATCTCTAATGTTTGATGTTCTTTTCCCAGCTCAATTGATGCATCTGAGGCTCTTGCTTTGCCTGGAGTAGTTGATGTCATAACAGCTCAAGATATTCCAGCTCAAAATGGTGATGAAGAAGAGAGGCTGTATGCCCAGGATGAGGTATTTTGCTTCTCGGGGTGTATGCCTACAAGGATATTTTTAATGTACACTTTGTTTTGTTTTTATTCCAGACTTGTAAACTAAGTATATTTTACCATGTCAGAAAGCGAGTATAGTTACGGGTGCTCTGAAACTAACCTAGCTTACACTGTTGGCTTGTTCTGCAGGTAATTTGTGTGGGACAGATTGTTTGTACTGTGGCAGCCGATTCATACTTTCATGCTAAGCAGGCAGCTAAAAAGGTGAACATTGTGTATGAAGACATGGAGCCAGTGATTGTGACAATTAAGGTATTGTATTTTCCATCGTCTCAAGATAATATTGAATCACTTAGTGTTTTTAGTTCCTCTGTCGGGATTCATCCAGTTGTTTGATTTTCATTACAATCTACTTTTTCTAGACATTCTAAAGTTTGTGATTTCTGTTGTACTAATGAAATTACACTAAAAATAACAATAATCATAACTAACACTTACGGAGTACTTATAGTCTTGCAAAACACACTACAAGTTCCTTCAGAACTTGCAATAACCCTGTGAGACCATAGTATTGTCCCCGTTTGGGGGTCTATGGTGGACCCTCCCTAGTGTGAGGAGCAGAGTAACGGGGGAACAAAAAAGTTGTCACACAGATAGAAATCAGGGATTCAAGTAGAAACTGGATCAAAATCAGGAATCCCAACAGTCACTGTTAAGGTGGTGAGAGGAAAGGCTGGGTCCAGTTTTTGAGGGGTCTATGTAAAGTTTCTAGTCTGGTTGCTGCCTTCATTGGCATCCATGGAACCTGTACAGCCATGGATACTTGTGAAGTTTGCTGGAGTAGACCAAAGGAAATGGCCTGGCCTGCTTCTATGCCATTTCTCTTAGATTCTCTCAGAAGAAAACAATAGATTCACTATTGATAGAGCCTTGAGATAATTTTCATTTGTAGTCCTGAACACAGGAATCCTGTCTCCTCACTTATTCTGTGTGTGTGTGTTTCTTATTCAAGAAAACTAAAAACTAAATGACTATGTAAGTAAATAAATATAATTAAAGGGGTCTTCACAATGGCTAAGCCTGTGGATATATTGATTGTTCATGGTGCTATGTGCTAGATGAGAATGGGACATATAAAAAGTCTGAATTCTTGAATTGTGCCACATTTTGATTGCTTAGTTTGTTACAGTTGTTTTTGTCTCCATAGGATGCAGTAAGTCACAAGTCATTCATTGGATCAGAAAAAAAATTAGAACAAGGAAACATTAAGGAAGCATTTCAAACTGTTGATCAAATCATTGAAGGTAAGTTCTTATATCCAAGCAGGTCGGTAGGATGGGAAGGGTATTTTGATAAATGGTTCTTTTAGAGTTTTCATATATTTTTCTTTCACAACATGATAAATATGGAAATATGTTTTGCATGATAGCACATGCATAACCTAGGTCAAATTGATTGCCATCTCAGGGACAGTAGATTGAAAGGGGGGAGGGAGAGAATTTGGAGCTCAAAATTTAAAAAAAAGAATGTTAAAAATTACTTTTAAATACAATTGAGAAAATAAAATATTTAAAACATAACTTTCATGTACTTAACTCTGAATTCTAATGGAAGGGGGTAAGGATATAGATTATCCAAATTATCAGATAATTTAAAAAAATCCTTAATACAGCAACACTCCTGATAACAGATATTCAAAACATATTCAGATAACAGATATTCACACCTTGGTGAACCTGGTTTAAACTGGAAGGTTAGTCTCAAAACCCAAGAGAACTTGAGCTCAAGAACATGTACTGAAAAGCTTCTTCTAGCTTTATTCAGCTAGCTGAGGGTTTAGGAGAAAAACTGAGAGTTGTATTTTCATCACTAATAACTGACCAAATATTTTCCAATTATCTCACTGTTTAACAGAATTGTTCCCAGCTTCTTGAACTATAAATTAAATTTTATTTTTAAGTATCCATCATTTTTCCATTTTATGTCTGTTAAAAGCATCCTTTTCTTATTTTATTTTTAAGGGTACAGATAAGAAACATGTTTCACAGTAGCTCATAGTAATAAGCATGAATATAGTTACTGGGTTGGATGGTTGTAAACTTGTCAGATGATTGTATATGTAAAGCACTTTGCAAACCTTAAAGGACTATATAAATATGAGCTATCATTATTTTGAATTACTATCATTATTGTAGACTGGGAGGCAAAGTACAGTGGAAATGGGTCAGGATTTGGAGCCAGAATACCTGGGTATGAATACCTTTTTTGCCAATGTGACTTTGGGTAGGCAAGCCACTTAACCTCTGTTTGCTTGTTTCCTCATCTGTAAAACTGGGATCATAATAGCAGCTACCTGCCAAGGTTGTTGTGGGGATCCAATGAGAAAGCAATTATAAAGCACATAGCACAGTGCCTGGGACAACGTAAGTGCTTTACAAATGTTAGTTTTTATTACCATTATTAGTGTTAACGCTGTTATTATTATTATTTTCTTCATTTATAAAATGACAGGGTTGGACTAAGGTCCTTCCAGTTATAAATCTATGATCCCATTGTTATGATTCTAGGTTTCAGAGTGCCAAGAGCTATTTGGATGCTAACTCTCTAGTTTTCTTTATTATTCAATTGTTTCTATGGTCTTTGGTATCCAAATACTCATTATTTCCTATGCTTTCTCCTTTTTTCCCCCCTTTTGCTTTGTTTTGTAGTTAGGTGAAGTTTTATGGAAAATTTTCTTATCTTCACCCTATACTTCATCAGGTTATTTTTAATTAGCTGAAGTCATTGGAGGCAGTTAGATACCATAATGGATAGCGCACTGGGCTTGGAATGGGGAAGACGAATTCAGATATGGCCTCAGATACTTACTTGCTATGTGACTCTGGGCAAATCACTTAACAATCTGTTTGCCTCATTTTCTTCAAGTGCAAAATGGGGATAATAATAGCACCTACCTCCCAGGGTTTTTGTGAGAGTCAAATATATAATATTTGTGAAGAGCTTAGCACAGTGCCTGAACATAGCAGGAGCTGTATATATGTATATTCCCCCTCTCTTTCACTTTCCTGCTCTCTCCATCAGAGACAAACCTAAGTGTGCATTTTTATTCTTTTTTTTATAAGTGTCTTTACATTATCTTGATGGTTTAGTCATTTGATGAATAAATAGAAGATTTGTGGTTGTAGACTGATGAATTTGAGATGTCCATTGCTCTGGACAGCTTAATTGAATAAGGGAATAATCCTCATTTAACTAGAACACCCCATTCCCTAACATCTCAGAAGTGAGGTGTCACTGTATTTGGCTTTGGAGTGTGTTGTTTTTCTTAAGCAAACTTACCTTCACAGTTATGTCAAATAAATTGCAAAAGCGATTTCTAGTCTTTCTGGTTATACTGGAGGGGAAGATTGAAGAATATATATGCCTTTAGGAAAAAGATGGATTGTCTTTAATTATTCTTTATACTTATACCTTAAGGCATAAGGCAATTTCCTATACAGGATCTGGAAAAAATACAACTTTTTGAACTTTGTAAAAACATATTACATTCTTCTTTATTGTACATGTCAGTTTATTTTTCTTTAGACTACCAATTTTGGCTGTTTCCCTTTGTATAATAGGTGAGGTACATATGGGAGGACAGGAACATTTTTATATGGAAACCCAGAGCGTGCTTGTGATTCCAAAGACAGAAGATAAAGAGATGGAGATATATGTATCAAGCCAAGATGCTGCATTAGTGCAGGTGGGGTCCTCCAGAATTATTATCTCTTGTGAATTTGAATTTGTAATGATGTGAATGTCATTTCCTCAGTTTGTGGATATGAAAGAGCAGTTGCTTTTGCCCAGAGATAGAGTAGTAAGCCTAAAGGATAGTGGGAATCTCCAAATCTCAACTTTCTGTGTAGTTCACAAAAACTAGGCTTGACCTTTCTGTCCTTCTTTTATTCCACATAGAATTGTAGAATCTCAGAGTATGTGCTCAAGAAATGAATAGAAATGAATCCACATAATGTCAGAAGTAGAAGGAATTTTAGAGATCATCTGTTCTACTCCCTTTACTTACAGATAATTAAATGAAAGGCCTGAGAAAAGTAATGACTTGCTCAGTCACCCAGTGAGCTCATGACAGATTGAGATTTTTGCAGATGTTCCCTTATAGATACGGAATCCTAAATAGCTTGAATATTTCATTTACAGATCATTTTCCCCACTCTTCAGTCTGGTTGATTACTTTTAGAGAGAATAAAGATTTTTGTAGCTTTAGAATTTTGTTTCCAAAAAGTATATATAGCATCTTTGGGCTAAAACATTGTTTATATTAACTGTGCTGTTTTGAAAAATCATAGATCCACAAAATGTAATTTATGGTGTTCCCTAGTTCTATTTACCACCCACTAAAAGTCCACGTTGTTCCAGATATTAACTGCCTCATTTACCTAGGGTAAATAGACTGAAAATGCCTTTTAAAATTAAACTTCCTATAGAAGACAAATCCAATGGAAA